CTTCCTACTTAACCTGACTAGTGAGCCTTTTCCATACATTTACATACACAGCTATAAATAATACTTCCAAATAGCAACAAAACTACAGAAAACTCATCAGAACAAGTTTGCATTATTGCAGTAGATAATTTAATTCCAACAATAAAGAAAAATAGAGCAGGAAAACACATCAGAATCTCACCAGTCACGAATGCAATGTGTAGCTTAGTTTAGCGGTCTACAGGCCAACACCCACTACTTGATTCCTACCAACACCGGAATTACCCATGTTTCCACGAAAAACTTCAAAAAAACCATCTACACTCACAATACGTATCGTTAACCATTAATTTTTATAAATTACATTTAATAGTATTTTTAATTTTTATAAAAACTTTTAGTGAGGGAAAGTTGTTTAGATGGACAAAATTGTCCTCTTAATAATGACTTTTTGTGATTAAAATCGTCAATGTCTTATTTATCTAAAAAATAAAAAAGCTTGAATAAATATTTGGGAAAATTCCCATAAGTACCGTGTACTTTAGGCCGAGTGCCAATTTAGTACCCAAACTTTAAAACGCGACAATCTAATACTCAAACTTTCATTTTGTGACAATTTAGTACCCGGCGTTAATTCATCGTCAGTTAGAAGACAAAAAGATTTAAATACCCTTCAACTATTTCGAGTAATGCATGAATGCTTTATTGAAATTAAAGATATGACTAATATATAATATTAAAGATATGTGTATTAAAAGATCAAGACTATTTAGTAAGTATCCTAGTCAATCATAGTCTACCAAGTTGTTAAATGAAAGATTTTAAGTGCATAAAGACCAGAAGATTCAATTTGAAGCTCCTTGATTTTCAGCCATTTTGGGCTTCCTCAAGYTTTATGGGACATGAGTCTTTTTGGTTTCCCATCTTTCATTGTCAAATAGAAAAAGACCCTCTTGTGGTATAGCAATCTTTGAAAAGCTTGAAAGATCTTCTAAAAGGACTTGCCAAATAGACCCTAAGTCTTCATTCATAATTACCCCAAGGGAATCAAATCTATTATGATGTGGACAATGTTTTCGAACCGTTGTTAACCCAAACGGTCGGACCGTTCGGACCGGAACTGTTCAGACGACCAGTTTCGTTTTACCCCAAACCCAGTCTTTGGTCAAAAATCGTTGAATTATTCTACGAACCATTGACCCGGATGGTTTGACTGTTGAACTATTCAACCTGGAGAACGGTTTGTAGTATATTACATTGACAAGTTAGAGCAAGAATGGAAAGAGAAGAAGGTCTCTCAAATCTGAGATCTACTAGAGAGAGAGATCAGTTGAGGGATGTGTGAGATAGTGAAAAAGATTTGAGAGATCTCACATTTAGAGATCTGGGAGAGCAGTTTAGAGTCTAGATGAAAGATCTGAGAGAGAGAGAGAGAGAGAGAGAGAGAAAGAGAGTGAAATATGAGACTGAGAGAAATCTCAGATCTACTTTCATTGTCGCCGCTATTGCCGTTGTAGTTCACCATCGCCATCGCCATCGCCGTTGTTGTCACCACTACAGCCTGCAAGTGACCTCCTCCTCCTCTTCATTCTTCTTCTTCTTCTTCTTCTTCTTCTCTCTCTCTCTCTCTCTCTTCTCTCTCTTCTAAACTCTGTCAGCCATCGAGTGCTTCTCACATCTCTCTCATTCTCAAACAGTCAAACCTTTTTTCTCTTGTATTTATATGCATCTTACCCTAATATTCCTATCTAATGAGTAAGATGACATATCACCAGTTACAATATTTAAACCGTTCGAACCATTTGATCCGAACGATCAAACCGATGACTCGAAAACCAGTGGCCAAAACGGTTCCGTTTCTAGGTCGGTTTTAAAACCTTGGATGTTGATGGAGTTTTTAGTTCTTTACAAGTATCTTAAAACTTTTTAAAAGCCTTTTAATGATCCTTTGTAGTGTTTCTTTTATATTTGTTGAGTACACTAATAAAAGAAGAAAAATGACTTAATTAGGTTTGGATCGAATTATCCTTAATTGGGTTTCAGGTCATATTTGGATTCGACCAAACCCATGCCTACACAACCCACCAATAGTGATGATCATGAGTCAGGTTAGGTTTTCTACAAGTAGTTAATAGCCTTGAGGCCTACCTAGGCCTAATAAAACATGTTCGATTTTGATCCTGGGCCAAGCATCTTGGCTGGCCCATAAGAATATACAGGATTTGTATTTTAAAACGAATAAAGTTTCAGCTTAATTTTATAATCAAATTACAGAAAATAAGCTTCAAGAAATTGTAAAAAATATATTTAAGTTTATTTTGTGTATATTAATATATTATACTATATATATTCGGTAAAATACTATACCATATATGAAAGATACTATACAATTACCGCAAAACATTAAGATACTATACAAATAAATAGACATTATAGATATATTATAGTATATATTATAAATATACATATAACTTCTAGGATGGGTTAGGTTTGTTAGACATAGGGCTTAGTTGGCTTGAGCCCAACATGTATTATATGATACGAGTTTGATCTAGACAAAGCTTGAGAGAAACTTGACTTCTTGGCCCAAGAATTTGCAAGCCAAGAAGGTCGGACTGATCATAAATGATCATCCCTACTTATCAATATCCTAATCCCATTTCAATTCTTATTTGTTTTTATGGACGACACTATTCACTCTAATTTTAGGGATGTGCTTAAATTTACAAACGTGAGAAACTTGACTTCCTACAGTACCGAGCAGCCAGTCGGTACAGAACAGGTCATCATTCATTCACGTCCCTATTTGGTTGGAAATTGAACAATTCATGTCATGTATTCCTATTCTCAATTCAAGTCTTCTGGCAGGCTCTCCTTTGTTGTTATCGCCGCATCCACACGCTATCACAAACCTACCTATACTTTTGGACTTTTTGGTAATTTCATTATCATTTAATCAATGAGAGAAAAGGAGTCAAACGAATCCGTCGGCTAAGACTTATCCAAAACGTGCTTGAGAGTTGCCAAGTTATTGCATGGTGGGAG